AGGGGATGTTAATAACACATGAGTGGCATTACAGCCATGAAAAAGTAGGTCACCACATCACAAACTGCATGAATGTCCATACATGGTTTCTTTGAGATCATCTTAGAGGTTTACACCCTGCTAATAAGGATGTGGGGGGTTCAAGTTATTAGGCAAATTGTGTAGAAACTTATTTGCTCAGCAGCACATCATGTGATGTGTCTGAACGGCACTCTAAGCCTCATGCTGAGTGCATGAGTGGCTCTCTTTAAAAGCCTTGTTGTGACATCTGTGCATACATATGTACACATGCCCACACTGTTGTAGAATACTCCCCTGGGTACTCAGTAGACGACTGAACCTCACACAGGGCTTGAGAAATATGACTTTAGACTTTTGTACAATCAAAGGGTCTTTTCTAAAAAAACAGCATACCAATTAGATTTTGGGGGGCTGTTGTATTCTCTAATCTCCTTTCTTGCCATTTCAAGCATTAGTCATCAAAGGCCTCTCTGCCTGCCACTCATACTGTATCAGAGAAGCTCCTGCTTTAGGCAGTCTTTTGCTGGCCTTGTGTGTCTTCAAGATGCTCTCACAGGCAACCCTGGCTCTTTAATTGTAACATTTGTTTTAAATTAAATTAAATCTTAATTGCTTAAGTGATTTTTCAGCAGTATGTGGAGATGTGAGGCATTAAGGGTCAATTAAGCGAATGATGTCTGTGGCTGAAAGGCTGAAATGGAATTGGAGTGCGAGGGAAGTCACCCCCAAGCTCAGAACTCACAGTAAGTAAATTAAAGAGCTCCTAGCTCACCTGGTTTCCTGATGTGACATTCAATTAAAAGGGTAAAGCACTAAAGAATAATATGAATAATTCTTTGCTCCATGCAAAATCCCTATACATGTAAAATGGCAAATAAAAAATTACACGATCATGCACAAATCAGGGGTGTCAAACTCCATTCCAAGACATTTGCAGGATCATTTCACTTATATTCTACCCCTAACCTCACTTACATGGTGTAATTAGGTGATAAACTGAAGGAAATGTACTTTAGCATTTCTATCCAGACTTGGAATCATTTTTAAGAGATACAGTATGTTGAGTTAAATGTTTTCTTAATCATCAACTTTGAAACTTTGAATTTGACCTTGAAAAAATTAATATTAGAACATATCCATCTAAGTCAGTAATTAATCTTGAGTTGTAATGAAAACCAGAAGATCCTACTGCCCCCAGAACACATCATCATTGACAGTTGTAGTGCAGCCAGCTCCTTCCTCCAGGTCCGCCTCATCTTAGTTACTGAAATTGCAGAGCAGAACTACATTTCTGGTCACAAAAATAAACACATACCGTACACATATTTTCTAAAATATGCAAAATCCATAATGACTTGCCAAATCAAATTAGTTTTCACTATATAAACATGAAGCTAATGAGTGAGAAAAACAGAGGCTGTCTGGACGTGAAAAAGGACAAGAGGGTTTGAATGAAATCTGTTTGGGTGTCAAATGGAAATCCCTCATGAATCTATAGGAGATCAATGTGCTCATACCGCTGGAATGCAGCAGGAATGACAGAAAGCAGGAGCTGCAGAAACAAAGTGGAGAAACGGATAAGAATCCCTTTGTATATTTTAGGATTTTTTTTTCAATGAATAGCAGTCTTTGCAAATTTTCCTGAAATGCACCAAGAAAGCAATTAGTGTCATCTTACATAAGAGCATGCAGATCGTAAAACCTGGCGTAAATCAACCTGCTACACAACAGGAGACTTATCAGTTTCCTCCTCTTATACCATTGAAACTACAATTCAGAAACAACATTAAACGTGGCACCAAACCAAAGCAGTGTAAATTTGCAATGCGGGCTTAGCATTTGAGCCTCAGGTTGTGTAGTTTCATTACATAGGAGCTGCGTTTAATGCAATCATGAAACAGCTGTCCCCCAAGAGTCCCCCAGTATTCCAATGACTAATTTGTGACTGGGATTTTTACTACCGACATTTAAGCACTTCTGGGTGAAAGAAAGCTCAAGGGAAAGATAGCAAAAAAACGACAGGAAAAACATATTGATGCACAGGTTTATTATAACAACAGGTCCCATATTTATGACAGTACAATGAAGCAAAAAGTACTATTTTTTATAATGTCTTAAATTTCTGTATACCGTAATTACAAAAAATTACATTGTGTTAAATATTTCTAACACATAAAAAATTAAGCTACATATATCACAGATCTACTTAAATAGTGAAATGGAAGGACATTTTAGTTAATGACCATGTTACACCTGAAGTTGTACACTTCCAAAATTCAAGATTTATTTCAAGGTCCTCCGTATTACACTTAAGGCCCTACATGCCCTGACCCCCTGTTACTTCATGGAGCTTTTACATTTATACAGCTCTTGGAAGCAAGTCTCACCCTAAAGTGCAGGGCTGCTCACTATTTCTAAACTTTTAAAAACAACTATGGGTAAGAGAGATTCAGCTAAAGGGTTTTTAATCTGCGGAAATGCTTGCGTAGTTATGGAAATGAAACATCACAGTTCACAGAAGTTCAAATAGGTAGTTGAGTCAGCATGCGTAGGCTGCAAAGAAACAGGTAAAGTTTTATTCCTGCTGAAAAGAAAAAAGACAACATTTCAGCTGTGGAGCCTTCTTCAGTTGTCACACAGGTCCCCATCATAGTTCACCATTTTTATAACTAGACTGAATATTTATTTTTCTAACTTCTATTTTGATTGATTTTCCTTTTATTACCCAGTGGTTTACAGCTTCATTTTTTTGTTTCTGTTCCACTTCTTATATTTTCTGTTCTTTTACTGCCGAATGTTCTTTTATATTTGTTATTTAACTATTCGCATTAAGTTTTTGGAAGCATCTCTTTTGCACAACACGCCATATTAAATGAAGATTGAATCAATGATAATTTGAAATTGACCCTTCCCAGCAGTGGCTTTCTGATCATGGACATTCAGTCTCTCTGCTCACAAAAGGGGAAGCCATAGCATTGAAGCATAAATATGGTTTAATAGTTTTCATTAGAGGTTTGTTTCCTTAGAAAAAAATATTTATTGAGAATGTAATTTGCCATAGCAGTTTATAAGCAAAGTTCAAAGTAGGTATTGTATAGGTATTGTTTCATCTTCATGCTTTATAGTGGCAGGAATCACTCAGATGTAATACTCAGTTAAAAAAAGTTGCCCACAATTAATAGGACTTTCAGCATTAACACATTTAGGAAGAGTAATTTTTTTCAATTGAGTATAGAATTGTTGGAACATCTTAAAGTCCAACAATGCAAAAAAGTCAAACTGGGTAACATATAAAAGAACAAGTAATAGGTTTATTCCATGCTGAAAAAAAGAAGAAAGAAAACACGTTTCGGCCGTGGATACATCAGAAAGACTACCAAAACCAAAATTATCCTGCAGCAAGGATCACACCTTCCCCCTTCTCTTAATGACAGATTACTCTTCTTCTAAACTTTCTCCATTCATTGGAAGTTTCATTTCACACCTCTCTACACCTATTCTGACTTCTCATCTTTTGATTGGCCTCTCTTTCTTCTGTCCCCTGCTCCTGCTTCTCGCTCCTCCTGTCTCACAGCCTTTGTTCTCCCGCTACATTACCTTTGCCTACTGCCTTGTCTCTCTCACAACTGAAGAAGGCTCCACTGCCGAAACGTTGTTTTCTTTCTTACCTATTACTTGTTCCTTTGCAGCCTACGCATGCTGATGCAGCTACCCACCTGAACATATAAAAGATAAGCTCTCACTGTTTAACATTTAAACATTATTTAACAGATTAGTCAAAATTGAAATTTTGACAGCAGCTGAACTTCTCTGGTTTTTATTTCTGTTGCCAATCAGGAGCGATTTGAGCATCCTCTTGTGGCTATTTGTGGTAGTACGACAAATGTTCATTTAATCCCTCACTTGACTTTAGAAGAAAAACTGGTTTGAAAACCTTAGGATGGCCTTCAGCACGAATACATTTTAAAACAATCATTATGTTTCAACAAAGCCATCTTTATTATAATGAAATGGACTTACTAACATTTGCAGGGATTACATAAATCACTGCTAGATATATTTACCTCCATTGTATAATTATTTTGTTCCTAGGTGAAATTTCAATGAAATTTACTCATTTAGAAATAAAACATTCACTCAGTCCACACTTCTTCTGAGTAGTCACTCCAGCAGGATCCATAAAACTGACCTTGAATCGCACAGGCTTAACATATTTGCTGTTATGGAAACAGCAAGAGAAGAGGCTGTTAATTCTTTACACAATTCATAAATAGCACTTAATAATAATCTGTAGCCTTGCAGTAAAAATAATGGAATGCATTCATTTTAAAAAGAGCTTTTTGAAATTATCATGAACTAGAATGACACAACTCAAGGGATTGAAACAGATATAAAAATTGTAAGATTCAAAATACTCATCTATAGGTTTTCTGTCAAACTTGGAAATTTGATTTTCATAGAGATTATGTGCTGTTTCTCTAATAAAGATTCTGAAGGTGCAGTAATTAAATCAAACATTCTTGAGGGAAATGTACAGGAAA